GATCAACAAAACTAGTATGGAACATCCCAATACTTCCCTAAACTGGAACGGTGATATGACAAGTGACCCACTCAATATTTCAAATGCATTCAATAAACATTTTGTTGAAATTGGACCCTCCCTTGCTAATAAAATTCCCCGAATTGATACATCATTCCAAGATTTTCTACCTAATCCCATTCCAAATTCATTATTTCTTAGTCCAGTAGATGAGCTCGAAGTGATCAATATACTTAATTCATTCAAATCAAACAAATCTCCTGGTATTGACGATTTCCACACCAAAGCAATTAAATATATATATATATACACGAGTTTTCATATTGTTTTTTTTTTTCAGGCTTGCCCAACTCAAGACTTCTCTTTTTGGGACCGAGCCTTCTTTCATTGCATGTTATCATTCTCATTTTTTTTTTCATGATATTGTATATTGTTTTTGTAACTCATGCCAATGAAAGAAAATAAATGTTAGTATGAATGAAATGTTAGTATGAATCCTTAGTGTGAATGGAATGGAATACTGTCAACTCATCTTTTCAAATTAATTTGAACTCTAACCATGGGTGTGTACATTCATATAGGATTCTAAATTATGCACCCTTCTTTTAAGCTGTTACTCTATTCATGCTACCTGTACATGCATCCAATAGAATGCTCAATATATATTAATAATATTTGGTCATTTACATCGCATCACAAAATAATATTGGGAACATACAATATTACTGCTGATTTCATATTATAAATAAATATTGCATTGCAAATTATTTGCAATTCATTCTCAGGTCAATAAAAATAAAATTATAAAGAGTGTAGGCCTATCAGGATCGTCGTATGAAAACTACCAAAACCCTATTAGGGATACAATTTCATGCTTTGGTTTGTTGTTTTGTGTCCCCATATAGGGGTACCCCATTAAGGGGAGGTTTTTTGGTTCCAAATGTGTCCTCTTAACAGGGGTTGTACTGTATATCGAAGTATTGTACAGGTAGTAACAACAGTATGATATTTGATACATACTTATTAAAGATTATAATTACCTAAAGCATCGTTTTATTTTTATTTACATGATTGTTGATTTCCATCAATTTTTTCTGACTGCCTTTAATTCTGACATTGATTGCTAGCACCTTTGTCATGTAACGTTTTCATACTGCCCACTAATTTAGCAGGCACTAAAACATTTTTTTTCAAAAAAGAAGTTTCCTTCAAGAGTAGGCAAATAAGAAGCCGAGGTTATAAATGCCTGTACAACACTGTAAAACTCCTAAAACTTGATTACAAGACCAAAACAAATATTCCTTTGTATTTTGAAACATAAACACTATTCAACCAATGGTGTGCTGAACTATGATAGTGGACTCAACCGGCACATAGCGATTTTTTATTAAGCTCATCAATCTATCAGATGAAAGTCAGCCAAACATTGACACAATTTAAAGACAACAGCCAACATTTTATCAACTTATTTCATTTTTTAAAAATGCTTTGTTTGGATGTTTTCACAGAAGTTTTCTGATTTTTTAAGTGTTCATTTTAACACTTAAGACTTTATGTATAAATTTTTTTTTTGAGGTGCTATCTGACGACCATCTAAAATTCTCTCACGACCCAAAGTTGGGTCACGACCCATGGGTTGACGACCATAGTTTTAGACTGATGAAAAATTAGGCCTAAAAATCCAATATGCATATTTTAAAAAATAAGGGCCATTCTGTGCAGATTTTGCCGAAAATTAGCCTTTCTCTGACTGGCTGCTCAGACATGAAGAGACCCTTAGGGGAGAAGCAAGTAACTGATACAAGCTAGTCCACACCTCAAATGCTTTGAGACTTCTGTATAAAGCACTACAGTATGTAAATCGAACTACAACTATAACATTACAGTGCTATACATCTGAATATACAAATGCTAAGTTACGGTTTTGCACACCTATTTTCCTAGAAATTTTCAGCTAGTTTTTGAGTTGAGGTATCATCTGCCCAATTAATATGATACTTTAGGGTCAAAACAACCAAAATTTACCAATTAGCTAAACAGTGTGTCACAAACATTTATTAGTAATCAAAAGTTACGAATGTAATAACAAATATCACTTTTGATACATGGTAACAACATGTAAAGCTAGAATGCCCTGAAATTTCAGCATTTGTATGATTACTTTTGGAGCTATGGTTCATTGAATATTGTAAACGGGACAACACATTGATGTCGCAAATCACTAAATTTAAATATATTGATATATAGTTTTAAAATAAGGAGGTGTGTCACTTTAAAATCAGTTAATATAGCAAATTTTGTTTATTGTATACAAGAAAAAAATAATCAACATGATCACATTCTTTTAATATATTTTTTACAACTCAATTGTGTCGCAACATTTGATGAAACATACGTTACCAGGTCATGTAGTTGGATATTTTATTATGCATACTCAATCAAAAATGAATTATTCATCATTATTAAAAATCAAGTGACTCAAGTTTTTACTTCATGGGTAAATTTTAGGGCAATATAAATCACCAGTGTAAAGAAAAAATCTAAGAAAGTGGTGTTTTGTTGTGTTTTGTTGCCCATATACTTAAGAAATGAAACCTACGTTACCACCGTAGCCAAAAATAGAACAGTTGATGCATGCGAATATTGGGTGTATGTAATAGCATTATATCTGCATTTCAGGAAGTAAATTGTAGGTGGCTTCGGTGATTGCAACATATTTTTAACATACGATGAAGTTAAAATAAAACCTACGTTACCGAAACATACGTTACTGTAGTATTTACTAAGCCCTACGTAAAATTAACTAAAATCACGACTAAGCGCAGACATGCTTTGTAAACTGCCATTTGACATTGAGGGGGTGTGGTTGACGAGACGCTCTTTACTTTGTGGCGTACTAGAAGTTAACGTCTTGCTATTTCTGATGAAACCCGACTGAAATTTAGTTGAAGTTAAGGCTTTTGTCATTTCTTTATAATAACTTGATAATTTTATACAATAGTATCTAGAAACGTTGCATTAAACACTTGAAGGACTATTTGTTTTTAATGAAATAAAGTTTTCAATGAAGAACAGTTTCCTTGGAAATCTACTGATTGTTAACCATGTGATTAGATCGTAACGTATGTTTCATAACATTGTAACGTAATGTTTCAATTTTCAATTCGCTATATTATTTGACCTAGTATACTATTTTGAGAAAATTAGCCATTGTAAAGCATGCACCAAATAGTCCTTATACATACACAGATTATATTCTGTAAGATTGATTTAATGATACACAAATTATTTACCACATATAATTAATTACATACCATATAACAAATTATATACCATATATATAATGGTAGCATGTCTCCTCCTCATAATTAAAAAAAACTTTCTTAAAATAAGATGTTAACGATCTGACAATTGCTTGTTTTTTTAGTCATCAACATGTTTACTTGAAAGTTATATTGACAGTGAATTAGAATCAAAGCTTTTAGATTTAATTTCTTCTCTCAAAAAATGGGGAATTTAGGTTCCGTAGGAGGTAACGTAGGTTACGTGGCTTGTATTGGGATTTAATTCGATATCTTAGGGTTTAATTTAATAGCAACGCTATTTGTTAAACACTTTTTGTTAGTTTCTTATAGATATCATAACATTATATCACCATGGGTACAAGAGCTGAGATTCAAGCTGACTAAAAAGTTAATGAAATTATGTGGTCCTGCGTTTAGATTGCAGATCCAAAACTTCGTTGGTAGCATGTTTGTCTATTGCTTAAATCCGTGTGTTTTTTCAAACAGGATTATTTTTATTTGGTTGGTTAATTTCGGAATATTTTTAATCATGAGTGCTTTTGTTTGTTGGAGATGTAACATATGTTGTTACACTTCCTCGTAACATTTATTATCAGTTTTGACCGGTACATTTTTGAATATTTAACTAAGAACCTTTTTATTACAGGTTACAAATGCATACCAGTGGTAATCTTTTGGTTCGTAACTAAAGAGTTTAAAACAAATATCATGGGAATAATATGAAATGTATATTTGATATTTATGCTTTTACCTTTAAATTTACCATCACAAAAATACAGTTTACTAAATGAAAACATACAAAAGTGCCCAAAGAGTGTGATTATCGGAAAACTGTCTGCACACTATTGTGGAGAGCAACAGTAAAAGTATATTTGCGATGCAAATTTGTTACAAAAACATTTTACATGAGAATTATATTTCATAAACGCATCGTAACGTAGGATTCATGAATGATTTGTAACTGTTTCCTAATGTTGGTGACAAAAATAAAAGTTGACAAGATTACGTACAGTATTCATATTTTTCTGAATCATTTTTCAAATTGTCACCATTAATTTTTCTAGTTATTAAGACAATTTTTATTTGATTTTTTTCCCAAAATTTTTGAAACATGAATTAGCAGTTTTTAGGTATTTTGACCCTTTACAGAATAATATGGCGTAGTTGAGGGGCCTGTCTATGCGTACTTTCATTTTATATTATATTTTATTCATTCACACGATTGGAACAGATTTCGTTCAGTGGTGTATTTAGAAGTCTTGAATTAGGGGGGGAGCTGATGAGGGAGCTGACGGGGTGCGAAGGTGAGCCCGATGGGGGTGCGAAGGTGAAGGGTGGGGGGACTCGATGATCAGTTGGGGGCGCTAATTCGCAAAATATGATTTTAGATGATTTTTATTTAATTACTTGACCGTGATTTTTTTGGGGGGAGGGGGGTCACTGGGTGACTCTGCGCTCTCCCCTAGATAAGCTCCTTTATTTCATTCATTCATTTCATTGTTATACGCGTTACTGACCAATTTTATTCACGTTTGATCATGGATGGGTGCAGGGACCTTGACATAGGCAAGATCCACTAGCTGGCCTACCTATGCTAGGCCGGCGGACGAGCATGAAAAATGGGGCCTACCGGTCCCAAAACAAAAGATTTTATTACCCATTTCAAGCATAACTTAAAAATACCAGAGTACTCACCAGAGATGAAATGACTTAGTAAATATTCTGCACGCAGCACACCACTTTCTTGGGTTTTACAATTATTTATCAGTAATCTGACAGGTCTAGGCCTAGGCCTAGGCCTAAAGTCAGGATCAGTAGGGACGATGTAGCCAATAAATAGTCCTGATGAAAAAATCATTGTCCTGTGCTGTACTTTCAACAATAATGGTAAGCCTATATATTTCTGGGTCTAGGCCTAGATTAAAAAAGATAAATTTCCGTAGTGTCTTTGTTTATTTCCGTAAACGTCCATACAATTAGGCAAAATTTCCGAAGCAAATACGGGTTCCGTAGGACTTGAGAAGTCTGAAAATGTACTTCAAATTCCATGCCCCATGTGTTGTAACACACCTGTTCTGGTTATTTTACGGTAGTTGCTAAATACAACGGGTTCAGACGAGGGGGCGTGGCTTGTTTGGTGACGCGTTATGTTGTCACGAACTATTATGCATGACATCAACATAAGAAGCTAATCCCCTCGGCTGAACCCGTTGTATTAAGCAACTACCATTAAATACTAATAGTTGTACTAAGCTCCGCCCCTTGGATGTTGTTGCCATTGTCTCTTGTTAGATGCGTATATTCCTGGCCCTGTTCTGATTATTCAGTTGTTATGTTTGATTGACATTTACCAACCTGAGAGACTTGAAATGCGTGACTATAATACCAGTTGGCCGGGGGAGGGGGAGGGGATCCCCCACCCCCGCCGGTCTGAGCATTTTGAAGCTGTTTTAAAACGATTTCAGGGAGTGTTTGTTGATAATACAGGTACATAAGCAAAAATATTATTAATAAAGACAATTTGAGTTTCAATGTAGGCCTACTGTATGTAATTTGAGCACCCGAACTATGTAGACCTACACAAACATTTCATTACTCAATTTTTAGTAACTCGTTAGTGAAATAAGTAGGGCCTTCAAGGAAATACTGTACTCTCTCATGACTCAAGTTACTGCACCATCATTTTTATAGTTTTAATACAACCAATGTGTGTTTCCTCCAAAATCACTTTGAAATGCGGGACCGCCCCGCACGATGCGAGACGGTTGGTAACTATGGATTGACATTACACAAAAGTCGATTCCAGCTATTAGTATACGCTCAGCCAATCATCAGGATAAATATTCATATATACTAAAATATCTTTATAAAAGCAGGGGAGGTTATCTGTTGTTAAAAAATGCTTCAATAACATAGAGAGTGATAATGAAACAAACTTAAAAATAAAAGTACAGTACCTACAAATTAAATGAAAAAAATCCAGATCTGTCAATATAATATTTAAAACTTTTTATTTAGTTTTTAATGAATATTGTACAGTATAATATACAAGGTCCAACATACTTTGCATATACATAACAACTTTAACTAGTAATTGTTGTACTATATATACATATGTGCATAGTAGCTACAGTAGTATACAATACATCTAGTCTAGTAAAAATAGAGTTTAGCTCTTAGTTATAATGGCATATCTAGGCCCCCACAAGCATTACTCGTTCTCCCAGTCGCCCCTTCCCCCCAAAAAAACCACAATTCATCGGGAAGAAAAAAATGTATATGTATTTTTTGCATACTAGTAGATTGCAGATTTGATTAAATAGCCTTTGAAACCTCTAAATTGTGAAATTTTCCCCCATGGAACACTTTCGAGAGATTTTGAGAAATGCCTGACAACGTCCACTTGTTTCCGTTGGGAGCCTCAGACCTCCCCACCCCGTCACCATTGGAATACATGGGTGGAATACTTATTATTATCTCATATTTGTTTGTATTATGTACAGAACGCAGACCTTCTCATTTTTATCAAGTATTTTTACTGAAAAAAAAAGTAACCAGACCTTTGTCCACAAGTAGTAAAAGGTTTTTTTGTGGATAAACATAAAAAAAGAACTTAACCAATTCAGAGAGTGAATAAATATGTAGGTATTTATATACACCATGATAAATAAAATTACATTATCAAAACAAATACTTTTGACAGGATTCTAATTTTAATAAGTAATTCTAAAATTGATAATTAAATGTTCCTATTATTCCATATCATTGTTCTGAATAAAGTACAATAGTCAGTATGCATGTTTTCATGCATCTCAGTCAATAACTGAATGAACAGCTCAGGATATTCACACTTTTATCAAATGTAGGATCAGCTCATCAAAGTTCATCAAACACAAGAACAAGTGGGTCTCCCATTTAAGCTAAAGTCCTGTCATCGCACATATGGGGCTATCCATTCCGGATTTACCAACGATTGCTCTAGAGGGGCGTCAATATCAAACTCCTTGGCGTGTTGGGTACGGTGTCGCATGCGTTTACTGCGCTGTGGTATTGGTAGCTCGGAGTGGTGTGCTGGGAGGGGTTCGGTGAAAAAGTACGGGTGAAGAAGACCCTGCGATAAAAGCAATTGTGCAAATGTAAATATTAAATTTCAAAAACTATCACAAAAGCAATTTATAAGATGCAGATAATGCAAGGACTTTTAACTGTTACCAGGATAGGAAGCTGGCTGGTTTAAGCCGTCTATCGATTAGCCTTATATGTGGTATTGTTATGCTAATGAGCCAGATAAGCAAAATCTGCACATGTTCAGAAAGACAAAACTTTCCTTAGCCACACTGTGTATTGGCTTGGCTAGGTGTACAGCCAGGCCTAGCAAAGGATTACGGTACGGTAAAACAAAGCAAAATAAGAGTACTAATTTCTCTTGGCATGCAAGTCAATCATATTTACACACTTAAAAACAAACTACCAATAAAATCACCTGCTAGTTAAGATATAAGGCAAGTATATTCACAAATTTAATTTTAAATTGATGTGATTTTGTTTTGTAGTATTACAATGAACATCACATAGGCTAGCCTAGGCCCGGGCCTTCCTACGAATCGGTAGACACTATGAAGTGATGGAAAAGGCATATTAAAATAAAAAATATTGGCGCTTGTGAGTAATACATTTTAATTTATATAGGTAAGTAGTAAGCATATGAACAATTTTAATGCACAAGTTATTTGATAACTTCATTCTAATTGTTTTGGGTTTTTTTTTTCTGCATGTTTATAAGTGGTTAGACATGGCCTTGGCCCGGGCCAGGCTAGCCTATGTGATGTTCATTTAATTTTTCTTCTTTATACAGTACTGGGTATCCTGTATCCGACAGGGCCGAGTCATGCCTTTATTAAGCCTAAAAATGAGGGAGTAGCGTTGTAGTCGTAAGGAAAAATCCTGCTGTCACAGAAATTCAACCCAGAACCCCGGGGTTGGAAGCCAAGCATCTTAACCACCAAGCTATTCAACTCCACTTCATTATTGACTGATGACTGACAATAATGATAACGGTATTAATAAAAATAATGACGATGATAATGATAATGATGGTGATAAAGATGATGGTAATGAACATTTTGTTGCTTCTGATTTGCTGCTTTATGGAGGAATAACTGACAAAACTCACCTCTGCAGCGGAGATCCGTTGCTTGGATGGGTACACCAGAAAGCTCTTAAGAAGGTCCAGTGCTTCCTTTGCAGCATCTGGGACAATCTCTTCCAAAGGTATCGGAGGATTTTCTGGAAAAGTGATCTTGTTATAGTCTGGTAGATCTTTCATACCCTACAAAATAAAAGAAGAAAATACAGCATTATGTATAAAAATGAGCATAGGATTAATACTGAATGATTTAAATCATATACTGTTGTATTCCAATAGCTATGTTTACACAGCCGTTTGCTATCAGATACAGCAAGGCTACACTGATGACCTCCAGTCAAGCGTTTACACAATAAGTTGACTCCGATAAATACATTGGTTATACCAGAAAAAAACTGCATGCACTGCTGCTTGTTTTGAAACCCTTTGTAAGAAAAGTTTTGAAATGTATATAATTGATAAAATAACAAAATTTTTGTCTACTACTGCGGTATTTGAAAACATTTCTGCAAATAATAATAATTGTACTTCGAGCTGTTTATCAACAGCGACTTCTGTGATGATTCATACAGGCCAAACAACAGCTGTTTTGCATCAAGAACATATGGATGATCTGAGTTAACTCTGCGGCAAGGTGGAGTTAACTTATACATCATCAGAGTTACTGATCTGTTATTCAGGGTTACTAACACCATTTACGAGGCCAGTTAACACCAATATCTTCAGATAACCGGCTTCATCATGATGATCTTCTGCCATGTAAACATGGCCAACGAAGGAAATAAATGAAGGTGGTATGGACTTTATATTGCAATTACATAACTTCAATCTATGTATGTAAGGCATTCTTTGTAGCATGACCTCATAATGTAGTGGCATAAGTATATTGTGCAAGTCTAAGTACATAAGCAGAAACTTACCATCCATACTCCCAGGACGTGTCTTATTTGCACCATGGGACATACATTATATTTTATTAATTACATTTTTTTTCTTTTTAGTAAAGAATTAAAGTTTTAATTATTTGTTTTTTATAAGGACCCCTCTGGAAATCAGATTGTTTTACGACATCTTTTGTGGGCTATCTTTGGTTCCGTTGTTTTTCATGTTTCTTGTTCAAGTATTTTTTAATGTAATCGAATCAAATTTTTTTTCTCCGGTTTTATATCTGTTTTAATATTTTTCTTGTTCCCGTATCTGTTATGCTGTATTTCATCTGTATGTATGTTTTCTGGAAACAAATAAGTTCAAATCAAATCAGTACATGTACAGCTCTCCGCATTATTAGTCCTTATGTAACAAATATTATGTTTATGCTACATTATTTTATTTTTAATGTTATGTTTTGCGGCAGATCCTATTAATAAATAAAATAACAGATTTGTTACCGGCCAGGTTTCTTCAGTTGGCGTTCCCAAGACCCGGAGGACACAGCAGAGTTGCTCAATGTCATTCTCACCAGGAAACAGCGGCGAGTTATTCAACAGCTCACCAAAAATACAACCAACAGCCCTAGAAACAAAGAACAACAAAAAGAAACATAAAGCTACAGTTATTCTTTATCAAACTTTGATCACATCTGGGATTTGATCAGATTCTGAGAGTAAAGATGAATCATTTTCATTTTCACAAAGTACACGAGTAAACTAAATATAATCATTGATAAGATCAATCAATAAATCAATTTTCATTTCCATAAAAAAAATTGCAAAATAGAAAGCAAAACAAGTAAACTAAATATAATCATTGATAAGATCAATCGATAAATCAATTTTCATTTCCATAAAAAAAATTGCAAAATAGAAATCAAAAAAAGACAACAAATGATGGAGAACAAAGGTAAAATCCTGAAATGTGTTTTACTACCTAAATTCTCCAAACTAATACAGGTCTCCCTCCAATTAAAGACCACCTTTAGGACTGAGGTTCTATAGTCTTTAGCAGCTTTGGTCTCTAATTAGAATAATAAAGAGAATTTGATATTTGTGAGGTAGGGACCACAGAAAAGTGGTCCTTAATTGGAAGTTACCCCTCTTGGATGGGTCTTTAATTAGAAGAAGACCTGTATTAAAAACTTATCTTCTTATACAAGATCTACATTAATAAAATATATCAGAAAACCCCTCACCCCCCAGACCTATGTGAAGTAGGCACTAACTATTGAAAGAGTTCCTTACCATAAGTCAACACCCTCATCATATTTTCTGGCCCCGTAGAGTAATTCTGGTGCTCGATACCATCTATAAAAAAACACATTTTAAACACTTTACTTGAATAAAACAACTCAATTATTATTAATGTGAACTAGTTGTTGTAAACTATTTTCTTCCTAAAAATCTAAATTATTTTCAGTCAATTGTGAAGTCATAATTTACAACCAATTTTAATACCATAAAAAAATATGTCTATATTATGTAAATTTAAATATTGTTATTAATTTACATTTGAAATTTAGAAATTGTTGATTATTTTTAAATAAGGTAATGTTGTATTCACCTAGTGGCCACCTGATGACTATACTGACGTCCCTCTTCATTGCTGAATACTCTTGCTAAACCAAAGTCAGCGATCTTCAAATGCCCTGTCTCACTTATTAACAGATTAGCTGGTTTTAAGTCCTGAATTTAAAAATGGTGCAATTTCTCAATATAAATTTTCATAATACACTGTAATTCTGGTTTTATCTAGGATACTTATGTGGAGAAGACAAGCCAAACCAATCACTCCTCACACAAATCGTGTTTAGGAGATAATGACCAAAAATGTTGGAATGTCAAAATTTTTCAAAATCTATATTATCGCACAAAACTAAACTTTATATATCTATACATCATGCTATGTTGTTATTTTCCCCCTGTTTAACATTAAAACAAAATTTTCTTCAAAAAGCTGTATGATTAAACTCCTGTAACTTCATAACGAAATGTCGGATTTACATAATTCTTTACCATTTTATAACTTTCATTTAACTGTTTAACCTGGTATTAATTACTAAAAGTCAATTTTTTTTTTGCGAGGAGTGACTGGTTTGGCTTGTTTTTGCCATTTATGGAGATTGGCAACTCCATCACAAAAGCTGCATTACTACTGGTACTGGTATACATGACAGTCTCCAGCGAACAAATTATAAAGCCATCGAGCTGGATGCTTTGCCATTAGCATCTAGCTATTCCTTTTTCTGAATGGAATGCTCAGAATAAAGCTCTGTCCAGTGCCACATTAGTAAACTTTAAGAGATAAATTTGTGTGATGTGCCCATATATGGGAATGATGATGTCATATTACACCCAAATATGGGCACACTGTATCATAATTTATTTTTGTCACATAAATTTGATAGTGTGGACTGAGCTGAGGATATTACTATATTATATATTATTTTTATTTAATTCATCATACAAATTGGTATGATGTGCCCATATATGGGAATGATGATGTCATATTACACCCAAATATGGGCACACTGTATCATATTTAATTTTTGTCACATAAATTTGATAGTGTGGACTGAGCTGAGGATATTATTATATTATTTCAATTTAATTCATCATACAAATTTGTATGATGTGCCCATATATTGGAATGATGATGTCATATTACACCTAAATATGGGCATACCACATTTTTTTTTTCACATAAAATTTGATACTGAGCTGAGAATATTATCATACTATTTACTTTTTAATTCTCTCTATTAAAATTAGATCGGTTCTCTCATCACATTCGTGGACAATGAATATATTGATCTATTACGGTTATATTGTATAAATAAATAAATACAAGTGATTTTTATTATCCAATAGAAACTTACCCTATGCATAATTGAGTTGGCATGACAATAGGCCACGCCTTTCAGTAACATTAGCATGTAACTTTTGACCTGTGCTTCAGTCAATGGTTCTTCCGAATTGCGTACCACTTCGGATAAATCGGAGAGCATGTATTCAAATACCAGCACAAAACCAGTACCATGCGGAAACACCTCTCTTAATTTCACCACCTTACGTGTAAACGAAAATTATTTCAGAAAGATTAAAACATCTTTATTGTAAATGCTACTTACAAACAATACATGAAAAATAACTAACGAGATAAATAAGATAAAAATACAATTCAAATTTTAAACACTTAAACTTACATGTTGGTTTTCCTCTATTTCTTGCAAAGCCTTTATTTCCCTGAAAAAAAAAATGTTAAAAAATAATAAATCATCATAAATATCTTTTATCTCAAGACATAAAGCTCTCCATGTTCTGATTTCATTGTTTTTGGTAACTAATAGATGTACAATACCGTACTCGCGCGAATAAGTGCCCGGGCGCTTAAAATATTTTTTGCACTTTCTGAGGGGCGCTCATTCAAACGGGGCGTTTATTTAAACAGGGCACTTACGAAAACAGAGTGGAAATTGAGGGGGCGCTTATGGAAATAGATGAAAATCAAGGGGTTCTTATGGGAGATTATTTTAATAATTAAAAATTCAAGAGGCACTTTTTGAATGAAAAAAAGATTATATAAGGACCTTATGAATGGTGGTTAGAGAAAAGATAATCGTCCAGAGAACATGGCTTATAACAAGAATGCGTGAATATTTACATAACAGCAAAATAGCAGATGCAATTAGTGGTGGGTAGTGGTTAGCTTGATGGCCATCGGCCGATTGAGATTAGCTGGATGGCAGGATCATTGTATTTTTCTTGAAAACTCAGATGAGAATGTGCTTAAGGTCGAAAAAAGAAAAAGACGAGTAGGACTAGACATAGACAAATATGTAAAAAGATTAAAGTTGGAAATATACTGTCTGTTCAGGGATCGGAGTTCTCGTCTGTCCAAGAGAAATATCCTTATTTTGATATTGACCTAAGAAGAATGTGTTTCCACTCTACAGCTCAAATCATGCTAACAACCACAGTCCAAGGATTGATTGGATTATTGACTTACTAAAAAAAAAAAAAAATCTTATGAGGGGGCGCTTATTCAAACGGGGCGCTTAAGGAAATTTTCACGTTAGGAGGGGCGGTTATTCGAGAGGGGCGCTTATTCAAATGGGACGCTTATTTGAGCGAGTACAGTATTGTTAAAAAATGCTTATACCTATGTTTGTGTTTAAGATATTAATTTGGGTATTTGAGAGTGACAATTAAAGCCAATTTGTATGTTCTGAATATGCAATAAATACCTCAAATGACCTTAAATAAGAGCATGTGCAGTTTAAATTATGAATGAGTTTATCTGGGTCTTCTTACCTGAGAGCTGTGTTTGGAATGCCATCCTCCCATTTCCGTAGTGGAACCTTCTTCAATGCCACAACAGCGCCAGTCTAAAAGCGTAAATTAATCCAAAATTCATCTATACTATTATCTAACTGGAAGTACAAAAATGGTTTGTCAGTCTAGCCAACTAGCACACTCTTAAATTGAAATAAATATGCAGTGTGTTTGTGCATGCATGGTTAGCCTAATTGTTCATCTATCATTCAAATCTATTTTTGCAGTTATGGAACATAAGGTTCTTTGGAGGATGTACCCTGTCTCTTATACACATCTGATCAATCGATAAACAATAATAATAATAATATCCTCACTTCTATGTGCTTTGCTTTGAACACTATCCCATGAGCACCTTCACCAATACGTTCTAAAATGTTGTATTGTTCCATTTCAGATGTAGGACCAACTAAATATCAAACCTCAACCATTATGTAAATTTCAGATCATTGAATGTTTGTCAGGATTCCGGATTATGCAGTCCTTGTTCTTAAAAAGAAAAAAGAAAAATCCACATAATATTAAGTAATTAGTAAAGCTGCGCATAGTACACTAGTGGAAAGCTATTTTACAGAGTTTAGATTTAATGTTGAAAAAATTTCCTGAGGGCCTGCAAGGCCTGAAGGAAATTTTTGAATGCATGAAATCTAACCTACTGTAAGTATCATTTTGCCCTAGTGTACGATGAAGTCACTTGCCGTCTTTTAATATTAGTTTTGATAATCAACTGTGTGTAGCATGCAGTTATCAGTTGCTAAAGTGATATGACCTTTATACTGTGTGCTTATACAATTTTGCTGATTGGTGCTCATGCAGTAAGCCTATGCGTTAATACACAGAGCTAGTGAGCTACTGGTTGTACAGTACGGATACAATGAATATCTATTGTGTTTGAAGAACTTGTTTTTAATGCTATTTTGATAGACATTCATCAAAAAAATAATACAGTATCACTTTTTGGTCGGTGCAGCCAAGTAAAATTATGCGATGGTTTCATAACTAGGCTAGGCTACTCCCTAGGCAGGCCTTTGTGGGCTATATCTAATTTCTAATTTTTGTTAAGTTTATTAGAGTCCATGGATTCAAGGAATTCCTATATGCCTAGGCCTTGAGTCTCGTAATCGTATCGTATCGTCCGTAGAGTCGAATGTCTGCTGTGCGGCTAGCCTAGCCTAGGCATTTCTCCCCATCATTTATTGTATATTAAATGCTAATTGCTATCTTAGTGCTTTACCTTTGTCCCGTAACTGCAATTTGCTAGGTTAAATTAAGAACGTTTAGTTTGCAGCCAGATTTCAGCCGCAAAACTCGCAATTTTTATGATCACAACATGACAACGCAAAGCAACAGTAAACAATGTGGCAATGGCGCCCTCAATGTTGTGGCAATGGCGCCCTCAATGTTATAGCAACTTTTTTTTTTTTAACATCGAACCAAAGATCGTATAAAGATCTTTTGTGTTTCTAGCAGCGATCCTAGATATTTGCATGTGTTCCAATGTTTGCTTTTCTTTTGTATATTTTTCAGTTGTATTTGTGTTAATTTCTAGATTTCGTTTACTTATTTTTCCTGCGATATTTGCTTTTATTTTTTCAATTTAAAGTTAATGTTGCTAACTTATGCAATATCGTCCGCGTATTGCCACATTTCTGTATGTAAAGTGTATTCTTTCTTACGTAATTTATTTAATTAAATTAAATATTTTTTAATACTTGTATAATTTACAGCTTTCTCTCTCTCATCCTCCCTTCACCCTCCTCTCTTACTCTCCCTTATAGTTTTAAGAGGCATTTGCAATTATGAGAATAAAGCAATTCCTTAACAAAGCTTCAAAGGAGCTTTTCTTCTTTTGTTCGTCAGTTGCTTTGATTATCTTAAATATTCTTATAAATCACTGCCATATTATGTTTTCTAATTGGTTAATACTTTGGTACTTATTGCATGCAATATCATAAATCACTGCCATAATAATATTATGTCTTCTAATTGGTTAATAATTTTGGTCTTATTGCATATGCATTATCATAAATCACCACCATAATATTATGTTTTCTAATTGGTTAATACTTTTGGTACTTTTAAAATTTACATAGCGCCGGTTAAACTGAAGTTGTCACTAGCGCTTTTTACAATATCACCAATATAATAGCATGTCTTACTTAATGCTTTTGGTAATTATTAAATAAGCCTGCAAGTATGGATAAATTGATATTCCTAATAATGAGTCAATTAATGGTATTTTTTAATTGTGATTTTACAATTTTGCACTGAAATTCAACTTTCTAATTGCAAATAAGATATATGTTGTATACTATGTTGTAATTTCCACAGGTATGTCACAAAACTAAACAAATATTCATCCATTTACCCAATTTATTGTCAGATTTTTACACTTTCATACAAATATATACAACTTCTTTTAAACTTTAAAAACAAAACACAAT